ACCCCGCCACCCGCTCCGCCCCAGCCCCTCGGGAAACGCAGCCCCCCGCCCTGCGCGCGCCGCGCTCGGGAAGCATGGTCTGTCCCACGTGAGAGCCGATCCGGAAGCGGGCACCTCGGTCTCGGGGTGGGGGCTGGACTCTGGAGAAGTCCTGATTAACGCAGGTATTTCTTTTCTTCCCGCGACCCTTCCCACTGTCCCCGTCCCGCCTACTCCACCCGGGCGGGCCTGGTTTCCACGATGCAATGAGTGAAAGCCCGAGTGCTGCCGTGTCTCCCGTGGTGCGAGTGAGTCGCTGCCGCTGAGGGCGAGGGCGGGCGGGCTGGGAGGGTGGACAGGTGGCCCCGGGCACGGCCTGGGCTCGAGACCCGGCCCTCCGCGCAGCGAGGCCCACGACAGGGTAGCCGCCGCCGCCGGCAGGGTCGCAGGGAAGGCTCCCGGGGGATGTAGGGCTCCTCGCGGGGCTGGGCGAGTCGGACCGAGCCGCAGCGCTGCCTCCTCCGGCGTCACGCCCTTCCCTCTGCCACCATGCTTCTCCTGGGCAGCAGCGTGAGCCGCCGCCTGAGGCTGAGAATGTGGGTGCTGGGGACGCCGCAGCTGACGCGTCTGTCCTTCCGCACGGCTGCTCGGGGCAGCAGCTGCCCGCGCCCGGCGAACACTGTGTTTGACTGCAGGGAAACCCTGGCCCGCGCCCCTTCCTTCACCGGTTTCGCTCCCTTCTCTTTGCTCACCACCAAGTGCACTCAATAACACGCACTGACGGCCCGTAGCAGTAGTGGAATCTGAAATAACTAAGCATCAAGTAGGCGCTGCGGCCATGGGTCTGGCTGGGTAAGATCCGATCGGATATTTCAGTTTCATTCACCTGCCCTGTTTCGGTGGTTGGTTTGTTTTTTGGTTTTTGTTTTTGTTTTTTTTTTCCTTCTTCTTTTCCTCTTGTATTTGGAAAACAAGGATCACACTTCCCCTTCCGGTTCCTTTCCTTACTCCCTTTTCTAACACGGGGGGAAACCCGGATGGATTTTAGGATTGGACTGGCGTCAGCGGTGTTTTATTGCGCACCTACATCCTGATCACAGGTTTTCATTTCCCCTCAAAGCCTTGGTTTTGGCAGTTAAGCCAAATGTGTTTCCCAGAAAGTTAGTTCACGTATTTTCTCCTTTCTTTCCTCTTCTTTTTCCCCATCTGACCCCACACATGGCTGTCCAGACCTGAGGGGACAGCAGCTTTAGTTCTGACCCTGCAGTGTGGCAGTCCGCTAATATTGCCAGAGGGTGCAGCTTCGGGGTACCGGGATTTTAGCCATTCAGTCATCTTAGCAGGGAGAAAAATGACTTGTTTCTGTTGTACTTGAGTCTTAAGAAAAAGTGCCCCTAGTTTAGTGACAATTTCAAAGGCTTTAGTACCACCTGTATTTCAAAATGGGGGACCCAAACTCCCGGAAGAAACACGCTCTGAACAGACTACGTGCTCAGCTTAGAAAGAAAAAGGAATCTCTAGCTGACCAGTTTGACTTCAAGATGTATATTGCCTTTGTATTCAAGGAGAAGGTAATTTTAAGTTCTTAATGGGAATTAGCACAAGCGGTTTTTGTAAGCGTGTATTAAGTTTGTTACTTTCAGATAACGATGACTAGGTTAAAGATTTTTCCACGCTTGTGGATGATTTTGTGAATCAGTAGTTGCAGCGTAACTATGAGCAGGAGGCGTGTAAGAATGTCCTGGTTGGGAAATACTCTTCTAAAGCTTGGTGGGAGTCACCGTTGTAAAACAAGCAGAGGTGCACAGGGACTGGGCAGCCGAACTCGGGATGATCTGAAGTGTCAGGAGGGTATCCGAGCGCAGAATTGGAATCAGAGTGCTTACATGTTAAGTCGGCCGGTTGGACTCTTCTCATGGCGGTCCATGTAATGAACTAGAATTCGCTTTGATTTTTGGGAGCACTTAAATTCTAAGATGGCTAATTGGTATTCAGGAGTGCAGTTTTTAAAAATGCAAAGTCACCAAAAGAGGAAGTTTAACTTGGGGGGGGGGCTTAATCAGAGTTACTTCTGCAGGTGAACGGCAAAGTTTTGAGTAGTCAGGGAACAGGATCGGGGCCAGCAGGTCGTGGAGTGGTTCAAGCCCTGGACCGGTATTTTGAGAATCACACCTGATACGTGTGCGTGCATATCCCAGATTCTAAAATCCAGAAAGGAGAATGGAGGAGAAGGGGTGGCAATTTGTCCATCGCCCCTGGTGGGTGATTTCTCACTTCTGTTTATTTCCAGCAAGTACACGCACCCTATGGCAAAAGTCTTAAAAAATGAAAAAATGAAAGAAAAACATGACCAAAGCAGTATTGTTTTTAGCAACTTAAAATGGATCATTTTAAAATTAACAACAGTACTTTAGGTTACGAATATAAGAAAGTGCTACTTAGATTTTCATACTTAAATTGTGAGTTTATTCTAGATCAGAAATAGTCTCAGTGTAGTGTCTGTTTGCTTTGGAAGGTTTCCCACATCTCACTCTTAACTCAAAAGTTACTGCGTTTAAGAACACTCCTAGCTGCTGAAGTTAGCATTATAAAGTGGTTTCGTAGTCATTGCTTTTGAAATTATTGTCTCAAAATTGAGTATTACCGAGGATTTACTTCTCAGTTTTCTTATGCCTTTTTTTTTTTTTAAACACTTTGACTGCAAAACTGATAGATTAGATCTGTAGTTGAGGGTATTGTATTGAGGGTTGTCTAAATAAAGCCAAGATCTAAGTGGTAAGACTAGACCTTTGTGTTTAATTTATCAGACACCCTAAATTGTGACAGCCAGTGCTTCAGTGTCTGTGAGAGTCCGGCTCCATCCTGCTAGTGGACAGGGTCTGTAGTGCCCGAGCAGATGTGGTCCATGTGCCGGGAGAGAGGATTTTGTAAGCGCGGTCGGCCGTGGGCACGTGGCCCTAACTGAAGCCCAGAGCCATGCACGTTTTCATTCCTCCTCTCAAATAGTTTCTGCGATATCTGGGAAGAATAGTAGAAGTTGACACATTTAAGGAGTAAAGTTAGTCTACCTGAACAGTTTTTTTTTTTTTCAATTGTTAAGATCTGTACATAGACCCAGTCAGATGGAGTTCTGTGAAGACTAAGTCACTGAATTTTTTTAAGAATTATTTTATTTAACTTTATTTACTTATTCAATTATTTCAATTTGACCAGAGAGAGACAGTGAGAAAGCAAGCCTCCAGATCCAGGACTCGAACTATGGGCAGCCATGTGGAGTCCAGGGCCCTTAACCACCATGCCCCCTGTCGACCCCGTGAGTTTTTTAAACCTTAGGAGTGCCATCTGTTCATTCCTCGCAACAGTCAAGGAATGCTATTTCCGAAGTAGGGTCTTGATGAAGATAACGTCATGCCATACACGAGACGCTGGGCGAGTCGGCCGGCGATAGCGTGTGTGTGGTTGAGGGGCAGCAGAAACCTGTTTTCGAGTGGAAACGGTGAACTTCCAACAATTAGAGTAGAGGTACTGGCAGTGTAATATGATCTGGGTGTTAAAAGGGAGAGTGCTTCCAGGGGTTCACATCTCCTCCTTTTTCCTTAGAAGAAAAAATCCGCACTTTTTGAAGTGTCTGAGGTTATACCAGTCATGACAAATAATTATGAAGAAAATATCCTGAAGGGTGTGCGAGACTCCAGCTACTCCCTGGAGAGTTCCATAGAGCTCCTGCAGAAGGACGTGGTGCAGCTCCACGCCCCCCGGTACCAGTCCATGCGCAGGGTACGTGCCGCTCCTCCCCTGCCCCTAATGAGCAGTTACGTGTGGGTGGGTCTCTGCGTCCATCTGCCATCGTGCCCTAGAACAACCCGGGCCGCCTTAGAGACTTTAAACAGGTCCGTTTAGGGGTTACAGAGACCGAGTTTCTGCCCCAGGTTCTTAGATGGGTACGAGATGGGAGGGTTCTTTCGTCCATGCTAAGTGCTTGTGATAACCAACAGTTTTTAATAGATGAAGTGCAATTAATAAAATTGTCTTTAAATTCTTAAAGTAGGTTTGTTTTTAAAAAATTGACTACGCAAATAAAGCGTGGGTGTTTTTGCTTATGTGGTTTGCCGCCGATGGTGGTCCTTGGCTTTCCCTTTTTGAGGAGCGCTAACATGTCCTTTTATAAATAAGAAACTTAAAATGGAAAGTAGTATTGCTGCCAGTCTTTTCAACTTTGGCATCGCAGTGAGAGTTACTCCGAGCACCCTCCATCAAGAGAGCTGTGCGCTTGGTGGGTAGGGCTGGAGGAGGTTTATTGGCCTCACTTTTCTGGACTCAGTATTTTCATAAGTGAGCGAGTAGCCTGCTGTCTGGAGGTTTATTGGCCTCTGAGAGTTACTGTGCTGGCCACGGCGATGAAGAGGGGCAGAGACGGAGAGGAGTCGGCTTTCTAGCAGCACAGAGCAAAGAGGCACTTCAGCTGTAATAAGACAGCGTGACTTCATGCCAGAAGTCACCGGGCACCTTTGTTAGGTGGGTACTGACTGCTCAGAGGGTAGAAACGGAGGTTCAAGGACCAGCGACAGTCACGACAGGAAACTCCCGCACCAGAGCTTTGGTGAGGGCGTTCCCAGTGCTCCGCCAGGTGGAGCGGGAAGTAGATCGTGAGCTGCGATGGCACCCGGCGCTGTTCCTGGATGTCCAGTACCCTCCTACGGTCTTAAAGAGCACACCGCGCATTTGGTGCTGTACGTCTGGTCAGACCGTGTGGGTTGGGACATACTTGCTGGAACTTGGTTTGTTTAACAGTCCAAAATAAACTAACACTTTTTTTTGTTTGTCGTTTTTATAGGATGTAATTGGCTGTACTCAGGAGATGGATTTCATTCTTTGGCCTCGGAATGATATTGAGAAAATTGTCTGTCTCCTGTTTTCTAGGTGGAAGGAATCTGATGAACCTTTTAGGCCGTTCAGGTATTTTTTTTTTTTTTTTTGGAGAGGTTTTCGCTATAGGGCGCGTGCGCCCGCCAGACAGAGAGAGAGCCAGAGAGATAGAAAGTGAGAAATCACCCCCCGGGGGCTGGCCACACCGCAGTCCCTTCTCCTCCATTCTCCTCTCGGGATCTTGGGCACGCATGCACACGCACCCGGCGTGAGTTTAAACCACCGGGTCCGGGACACGAACCACGGTCGACTACGTGGGAGTCCAGCGACATAACCATTACACTATCTGCTGGTTCCCCAACTGTCCTGATTTTTAAAGGAATGTTATCTAAAACAGGTTAAGAGGCCATTTGGTAGAATTTGACTTACATGTAAAACTACAGAACAGTAAACGTTATACTTAATTACCTTCCGGTGCACTTTGACTGTGTCATTTGATGTGTAGTACTGGAGAATTTCTAGCCTTAACATGAGGACATAGGGCTGGCCCTGTAGTGTAATAGTCACAGGAGGTTCCTCCCACGTGGCCGAATGCAGTTTGAATCCAGCCCCTGCAGACTGGAAAACGTGCCAGGCGTGCGTGTGCCCAAAATCTGGGTAGAGTGGAAAATGGAGAATGGGTTGTGACCTGCGGGAAATCGCACATGAACACCTGTGTTTGAAGTCCGAGGGTTGGCACGTCAGAAGCCCCTCGTGAGAGGCGGGGCTGTCGCACCTAGGCCTGCACTGCATCTCACCCCGGAAGGGTGCTGTGCCGTGTTAGGGCCCCGCCTCACGGTGAGGGAGCGGCAGAAGATGGGCGCAGGGATCTGGAGGCCCCGGTTGGTGAGGCGCAGCCAGGACAGTGTGGCGGGTCTCCGAGGCTGTCCCCGCGCCTCATAGTTGAAGGAGGATGTCGGGGTGTGCAGTATTAAGGTGGGAATTTTGAGCTGAGTAGGTTTGAAAATAATGATTCTTAGGAAATTTGGCTGAAAGCCATTAATTATTAGGGTTTAGTCACTTTGGCGCACACTGGAGTGCCATCTGATAGAATCACCCGCGGTGAAGGGGATCTTCTGTGTTTTGGGAAGTTGCTCGGCCTGGTGGGCGCTAGTGCTCCAGCGTGGCGAGTGCTGTAGGCTGCATTTAACCCAGGTTCAGTCGGCCACACTTGGAGGTGGGGTGACACAGGGACACCTGTGAGTGCCCAGTTACATGTCTGTCTGTGCTCTGTGATTAGGCCAAATTCGAGTTTCATCACGGTGACTATGAGAAACAGTTTCTGCATGTACTGAGCCGCAAGGACAAGACTGGAATCGTTGTCAACAACCCTGAGCAGTCAGTGTTTCTCTTCATTGACAGACAGCACCTGCAGGTAACACTTTCTTTGAACATTACTTAAGGGTTTATTTAAAAAGTTTATCCGTGGGGCCAGCGGGTGGTGTGGTGCTTAAGGTGCAGGACTCCCGCTTGGCCGACCACGGTTCGAGTCCTAGACCTCGTGGCTTGCTTTTTCACTTTCCCTCTCTCTGCCTCTCTCGTCAAATTTTTAAAAAACAGTATTTAAATTAAAAGAATTCTTTTTTTTTTAATAAGAGTTTATTGATTAGTAAACATTCTGTAAGAAATACTTCAATCTGTCGTGCCCCTCAGTGGCAGTGCATTATTTCTGAAGTTACTTTAAAAACCAGAAGCATAGGCCAGGCCTCACCCTACAGCAGTGGTCCCCCAGAGCTTGCTTGTCGGAGCTCCCTGGAGAGCGCCTGAAAGTCCCGGCTGGTGTACAGTAGTGAGGGCCCCTGCCTTAGCGCTCTGCCACCTGAGTGCGACCAGCAGCACAGCGCCGTGTCTGCGAAGTCACGGAGTTATGTGGCTCTCGGGAGACGTAAACCTTGGCCCGTTTGGTAGGGGCAGATCTTTCCCGTGGGCCAGGAACAAAAGCTTGACTCTTTCATTGACGAGAAAAGGAGTTTGCTGGGAGAGCACCCAGCAGTCTGGGTCTGCCTGGTGTGTCCTAGTGCTGGCCCTGGAGAGTCCCGGTTCCCAGAAGCCCTTTAATGGCAGGTGAGCTTGGTCTTCGGTGTAGGCACCCTTCCTCCACTCAGGTTCTGTCTTCCCCTCTGTGAGCTGGGGATATGTTGCCACAGACGTGTGGGGCCGGCCCATGGCGTGGTGGTGAAGGCAGCTAGATCCCACGTGCAGTTCAGGTCCCCGGTTCTGGGCCTGTGCATGTGTGTCTGCCCGTAATCCTGAAAGGAGAGGCGAATGGAGAAGGGATTGTGGTGTGACCATGCCCTGTGAGGGTGCACACTCGCACTCTCTCTCTGTCTCTGGTGACAACATGTGCCCTCAGGCAAAAACTGAAAACAAAAAGTTCCTCGATGAGGCAGAGCCTGGGTGACAGGCGGTATGGCAGCGTCGGGCCGGACTCGGAATGCCCGCGCAGCTACATCCGCTTGCTGGTCCTGTGGTCTTGGACCAGGCGCCTCTGTGAGCATGTTCTTCCTCTTAAATGGAGTAAATTACATTCTTTTTGGTTTTGCCTCAGGGTATGCGTGCGCTGGAGGGAGTGGGGTGGGGGAACCGGAGTCAGTGAAAGGGAAAATAAGAGATCACCCGTTCCCTCTCCTCCGTTCTTCTCCTGGGATCTTGGCCATGTATGTACATGCCCAGTGTGATTTTCAAGCCACCAGGTCCAGGAACCAGATCACGGTTGGCTATGTGGGAGTCCAGCGGCATAACCACTACCCATCTGCTGGCCCCACAGATTACATTCCTAAGGTGGTTGTCACCTTTATAATGGACTGATACATATGCACATGCATGTATAGGTCTTGTATGTGCATCCACGTATAGGTCTTGTATGCACATCGATGTATAGGTCTTGTATACACATACGTGTATAGGTCTTGCATGCACATCCACATATAGGTCTTGTATGCACATCCGCGTATAGGTCTTGCATGTACATCCATGTATAGGTCTTGTATGCAGATCCATGTATAGGTCTTGTATGCACATCCGCGTATAGGTCTTGCGTGTGCATCCGCGTATAGGTCTTGCATGTGCATCCGCGTATAGGTCTTGTATGCAGATCCATGTATAGGTCTTGTATGCGCATCCGCGTATAGGTCTTGTATGCACATCCGTGTATAGTTATCTGTGTATAGGTCTTGTATGAGCATCCGCGTATAGGTCTTGTATGCGCATCCGCGTATAGGTCTTGTATGCATATCCGCGTATAGGTCTTGTATGCGCATCCGCGTATAGATCTTGTATGCACATACGCGTATAGGTCTTGTATGCGCATCCGCGTATAGGTCTCGTATGCACATACACGTATAGGTCTTGTATGCGCATCCACGTATAGGTCTCGTATGCGCATCCACGTATAGGTCTTGTATGCGCATCCATGTATAGGTCTCGTATGCACATACGCGTATAGGTCTTGTATGCACATCCATGTATAGGTCTGGCACATTTTTAGCCTGTTTCAGACATCAGCAAAGCAAAGATCCTTCTCTTTCGCCTCTTGGAGGTACTGTACTAAAAAGGCCTTTGCAGTCAGCGTGGTTTAGATCCCATCTCACGTTTGCCAGCAGTTACTTGTGAAAACACCTAGCAGCTATCCATCAGTTGGCTGTTCTAATGTAATTTCGTAAAAAGAACACCAGCGTTTACGGTGTGGTTAGCTGAGGACACACTGACCTTCTCGCAGGGTGTGTTCTGCTCTCACAGCATCTCTGTCTCCACATGTGTCGGCATGACTTAAACTAGACTCGAATCTGTCTCCGTGAAACGGTTTTCGATGCTAATTTCTCTTAGCAATTAACCTTGGATTTATCTTCCTAACTTTGCATCTTTGAATTCTGCATGAATACCTCGCCGTTTATTGAGTTTGCAGTTCATTTTACTGTTCCTCCTGTATCTCGTATGGCAAGAGCCTGTCTCCCCGGCCAGCCTGTGGGCGCCGTCCTCACTGCCTTTACTGTCTGTTGTTACTGCCGTGCCTGGCGCGGCTGCACCGGTGCGGAGATGGACTGCTCGTGGTGATTACGTCAGCTCTGATTTATAAGGATGTTAACATTTTCCTCTTCCAGACTCCAAAAAACAAAGCTACAATCTTCAAGTTATGCAGCATCTGCCTGTACCTGCCGCAGGAGCAGCTCACCCACTGGGCGGCCGGCACCGTCGAGGATCACCTCCGTCCTTACATGCCGGAGTAGAGTCCCCCCAGCAGACGGAGAAGACCCGGAGAGCACAGCAGCAGCGTTTGTTTTCTCACCACTTTATTCTTTCAGAGTTAAAGCACACGGACTCATGCGCAGAACACGATGCATTTTGAAACTTGTTCATCCTGGATTGTTTTAATCATTTGTATCTCAGAACTTAAAAAAATTCGGTGTCTCCTGCATGGACTGGGAGAAGGTGCTTTGCGTACTTGCTGCACTGCATCAGCATCTTGCCGAGTGAGGCGGAGGACTGTTGTTCACTGACATGCCTAGGTGTACCCGCGAGCACAGGCGGCGCCGGTTCTGACGGTCTCCCCATTTGTGCTGGGCTTTGCCTGTTTGACATTTGTCATCAGTGTTTTGAGGGTGAGAAGTGAATGTAACAGGTACAGATAACATTTTTAAAAACTTAATAGCTTTGCTATAATCACCGTTGTTCCAGAGCACTGTCAGAGTCATTCTAATGACCAGAAGTGGTTGTTTAAAAAGAGAAAATACAACCATGGGAAAGAAATCGTAAATGAAATACGCATCTCATGGAAGGCATTCTTGCCTCATCTTGCCGGGCCATGTTTGTTTCCTGGTATTCATAAGTACGTGTGTTTTTTTCTAGATCTCCTTCCCCAAGTTGCTGTTCTAGGAGGGTACTCTGCCGAGCGTGGGCGATAGCACGCGAGAGCAGCCCTGGAGTCTGAAGCACTAAAGCAGCTGTCAAACAAGCACGCTCACGGCTGCAGAGACAGGATAGGGAGACGACTTTGCTTTTGGTTTTTAAAAGTTTCTTTGTTTTGTTTTGTTTTTAAGAAGAGGTTTTTACTATAAGAAAATAATTCCAGTGAGCTATGCAGCAACACTGGTTTCTATGCCATTTAAAGAAAAACATGAGAGGTTTTTGGAGTAGAAAAAAAGATTTAAAAGTTTGGATCTTAATTGTGAAAATAACCATTGCGTCTCAAAGCTCTAAAAGCAGAACTCATTTTGCGCAGTGCACATAAGGAAAGACTACTGTATGGTTTCGTTTGTTTCCTTTTAAATGAAGTAAAGCTTTGCTTGAGGGTGCATACTTTCATGGAGTAAATCTGAACGATCCTGCTCCTTTGGAGTAAAACGAGGGCTTACTGGTT